CCAACCCTTCCCACAGCTGTTTGCTCCAGAAGCACCACAGTGGCTTGGCAGGTTGGACCAGCTTTTTGCCAGCAGCCCATACTGAGGCCAGCCTTCATCCTAGGTTGCATCCTGTTCTCCCTCGCCTCCTCTCCAGGCTGTGGCTGTGGCTGTGGCTGTGGCTGTGGCTGTGGCTGTGGCTGTGGCTGGGTTGCCCTTGACAGCCACACGAGCTGCCTTCCCCAACCTACAGGCTGTTTTCAGGGCCTGGACACCCTGGAGCTGCTCATCGGCTTTGGCAGAGTAGCGTAAATGTCATGTCCCTGCCTGTTCCCAGCCTGATGCCTGTTCCCGGCCCGAAGCAATGCCCGCGTGTCTCCCATTATGTAAGGCGTAATGTGGATGGGAGCTGGGAGGCCTCGGGCTGGCTTGTGCGCCATGAATGACAGCTGCAAAAATGAGAAGGGAACTATTTTTAAACCTTCCCCTGCCCTCCTTCTCCAGCCCTGTTCCCTACAGCCTCAGCCAGGCTGTGTGGATGTCCAGCCCATGGGGGCAACTGGTCCTGCTGGGTTCTGCTGAACAGGTCCTGAGCAATTCTTTGTACTGCCACAGAGGGACACGTGGCACCTCAGCACAGTGCTGGTGGTACCCAAAGGACATGTCCTCTTCCAGCCTTCCTTGGCCATCAACAATCCCCTGACATCCTCTCCTTCACCTCTCAGAGCCCTGCTTGTCGGCAGGACCAGCAGTGTTCCTTTCTTTCCCTCAGCCTCTCTCTGTAACTTTAGAAAGGTCATTCCCTCCTCCTTGAGCCACAGGGTTATCATGATTCCTTGGAGAAGAGCAGTAGGGATCTGGAGGGGGAAAAACCTACCTTCTACTGCAGAAACATGATCCCTCAGCACCACCCTGTCCCTCAGAGTGAGGGCAAGAGACAGATGGTCAGGAGCAGGGGCCTGCATAATTGTCCCATACTCCCACTGAGTCCTGCTGGCACAGGGACCAGTAGGGAAGAGGCAAAATGGGTGAGGAGCTGTCTAAGAAAGGGGCTCTGACAGTCACAGGGAGAGTTGCAAAAACCAGAAGTTTTGCCCCAGAATGCTGCAAACAAGGCACCCCTCAAGTTGAAGCATTGGAAGAAGGAAGGCAGGGGGTGGATACTGCCCATGTGCTGCCAATTTGGCTCTGAATAAAGACACTTGGTTCAAGGAATTGCCTGTCAAAGAATTACCTGGAGAGACAAGCAAATGTCAGGTACTTCTTCACCTGGCATTGCAGACGCTGCTCTAGACACCCCTCCACAGGAAAGATGGAGCTGACTTGTAGCAGGTACAGAGCAGGCTTGTGAGTGGCCATTTTGAGTGTGGAGCTTGTTTAATCTAAAACAGGTGAGTTTGAGAGGGGACAGCATCCATGCATCAAAAAGATACGCTAGGGCAAAAGTCTAATTTGTTCTCTTAAAAGCTCATCTAGATCATAAATACATTTAGACTTAAAATTAGAAAGAAGTTCCTAGCCAGCCATGGTATAAACTTCTGTGACAGCCTGTCAGGCTGGAAGGTGGGCAGAAGAAGCCTAATTTGGTAAGAGACTCAGCAGGCTTGTAGTCACTGCATGGCAGGAGAGAAGGGAGCCCAGAATGAGCCATACACAGGTCTGAAATGAAGCCTGCAATGATGTTCCCAAACTGGTCCCCAGAGGTATTGGTACAGAGCTGAAACTGCAGTGTGTTGCATCCTCTGTAGGTTGGTTACATATCATTAATTTCGTTCTTCAGGGTCCTCTCAGATCTTTAAAGAGGCAAGAAAGAGGTCACCTCTTTTCCTTCTGGGTTTTTAGGAAATTAATTTCCTTCATTCCTGTAACCTCTCTGGCCACAGTAGCCACAGGGCTGGGGTGAGGCAGAGAGGAGAACAGGGTCACTCCCGCTGCTCTTAGTTACGCTTTGGGTGTGCTGGTTTGCCTTGCTCAGTCTCAGGACAAAGCCAGCTCTAGGGCTCGGGAAGCATTTCCCTCGGGCTTGGTGTGCTGTGGCAACCTGGGGAGCTTGAGGTGTTCACCACGGCAGGCAATGCCGTTCTGGGATTCCTTGGCTGCATTTTCCCTTGTTGCAGGAGCTTGGGGAACACTAGAGACACTTCAACTCTCTCCCACTCACTCCTGCTGCCGTTCGCATTCTTAGGTTTCTGTGGACCTTGCCCACAGCAAGGGAGAGGGTGCCTTTAGGCAGTGAGGATGTTCCTTGGATGGTCCCCGAATGTCTTGACTCGGGCAGGCTCAAAAGAGCCCGAAGTTTCAGTCCAATGTTTCAGCGCCGTAGGGAGCCCGCACTGTCACAAGACCCTCAGCCTTCGCGACCTGCTATTTTCCCTGCTCCTTGTCCCCCTCAGTGCGGGGGCTGCGGGGCACACCTGCCCTGACGCAGGAGCCACGGTGAGGGCTGCGGGGAGTCATCTCAGAGGACTGCGGAGAGCTGTCGGAGCCCGGCAGGTGCCGTAGCAGAGGCCGAGGCCGCTCCTCACCCTGCCGAGCTCCACGCGAGCGGCGCCGGCCCCGCCGGGCCCTGGGGCGGGCGCGGCCCGGACGGGGCGGTGCGCGCTGCGGCAGCGCCACCTCGCGGCGCCGCGGGAGGGAGGGCGCGGCCCGGCCGCCATTTGAGGCGGCGCGGGGGCCGTGAGGGGACGGCGGGCGCTCCCTGCCCGCGCCCCCAGGCCGTGTCACAGCACGGGATGGGCCCTGCAGTACGACTGCCGTCTTAGGACTTGATGAGGCTAGCCTTTCCTTCAGGATAAAGATTTGGAACGGCAGCTTATCCGGGGCTGCAAGCAGCGAGCAGGACGCGGAGCAACCATGGCTTGATGGACTGAGGCAGTATGCGAACTTAGGGGAAAATGAGGTTACTTCTCCTCAAATTATGTATTTTACATTTTACACCCTCTAAAGCTTTAGGAACAAATAAGCAATCAGCAGGATAAAATGAATGCACCAGCAGACAACGAAGGCTGAAGCAGCGGCTGCGTGGGAGCCACCCGCGGCCTTCTCCAGCACAGGTGGGTTGAGCAGCGCCGCGGCACAAGGCGCAGCCACAGCACAAAACCTGGGCGGGGGGGCCCTGCTGCCCTCACTGCCACCGTGGAATTTACACGTGGGTCTGGCTCAAAGCCTTGCTGCTCCAGCCTTTAGCCGCGGGTAGGGCGGGTGCTGAGCCTGGTCTTGCAAGCTGGAAGCATATTTCAGGAATAAAGCATACAAGAGCCAGTATTGATCATAAAAACTGTGATCAGGCACAGAGGGTTAAGGTACATGAACTCGCCTCTTGCCACAGCTGGAATAATGCCAGCAACTTTCCACTCTACCTCCCAAGCCAGTCTCTTTCACCTCCTCTCCTTTCCTTATGGGAGGAAGGCTAGTCCCATATTACTCTTTTGCAATTATTTCCCAGGGACACCTCACCCCCCTAAGCACAAGTCTATCATAGCTATACCATCAGCTTCTGGCTTTACTCTCTTATTGTCAGTTCGCTCTCAGTTTCCTCAGAAGCCTAAGACACATTTTCTCAATGGTCATGTCCAGCCAACAACCACAGCCAAGAGCAAGCAAAAACTCCAAGGTGCTTGCTGGATGCAGCTCTTGCACATTTCTCAACCACAGCATTCCACTGCCATTACAGAGTGCTGCAGATGCATCCTTTCTGTTCTTCTGTGGACCTGGTGTAGCCAGCAGGGGCAAAAGTGAGTACCAGTGTATCCAAAGTCCCAAGAGCAGCGGATCTTCCCGACACACAACAAGAAGGAGGCTGACTAAGCAGTTGCCATTTTTCACATCACTAATAGCTGCAACATTTCCCAAAGGGAACTAGTAATATAATGTGCAGAGTTAGTACATTTATAAACTCACTCCCCACCCACCCAAGAGAACATTCAAGCTCCCTGAAAAGAAGGCAGTGTAACAGATATTGGTGCTGCTGCCAGCTGATATCCCTCCCAACAGGGAAAAAATGCCAAATATCCTCCACTATGTTAAGGCCATGTAACACTAGAAGGATACATCCAGCACAGCCTTGCATGCACTCAGTTTCTAGGGCAAATCCTTGGATTGACTATGTCAAGTCCTTGGCCTTTGGTATGTGGTGGAGGTCAGGCCCCTCCCTCTAAAGAGGAAGGTTTTTTGCTTTCATAAACAAATTGCCTGTGTCACTAATCCTGCCATGACCCTGGAAGACAGCCAGAGATAAACAACTCACTGACATTTAGTTTGTTCCTTGCTATCACCCTCCATCACTAATCATACAAGATCCCTTTTACAAAAGTGAAGATGTAACAAAGATCCTTACTGCAGTTTATTTAGAGGTTATACTGAAGCACCAGTGATCTTGTCTACCTTGAAAGCATGTGTGAGATGCAGTGAATATATAGAAGACATAAATTTCTTACCAGGCTGATCTTCAATTACCAGCTTTTGGAGAACAAAAACAAAAAATCCCAACCACCACCAATGAAAAAAACAATTAACCAACCAAAACCCTCAACAAATCAACCAACCAACTAACTGAGGTTTAGTTAAAAAAAGAAAGAATGGCAATGTGCAGAGAAAGCTGTCCTCATGGACAAAACTTACTTATTCAGAACCTTACTTCTTCCCATGAAAAAAAGTAAAATTCTGATAACTTTGTGGATGTTCTCGTAACAGACAAAGCACAGTCCAAGTGTCTGTGGCTGACTTGTTCTCAGATTTCTCCCCCTACCTGAGAGAGTTCAACCAAGAGTCACTGCAAGACAAACACAAAACCTTGCAATGCTTTTGAAATCAGTTAATCTAGAAAGTAAAAGCAGAGAACTGTATACCTATTACCAGCACACTTAACACATGGGAAATGCACAGCAAGAACCTGCTCCCAAAAGGTGATCAGCTGCTTTAGTGTCTACCAACTTCACTGCAAATTGCAGATGTAATGCTGGGAGTGGAGCTGTACACCACACAGTATGCTGTCTAGAGAACAAAATTACTGGATCTCAGCATAGTGGAATATACATTTTATTTCTTAAAAAGGAAGGGTACTAACAGAATTTAATACAGTCAAAATTTTACATTTTAAACAAAAGCTTTTCTTTTTCTTAAAAACCAGTTACGAGCAGAGAGGTGAGAGGATTTAAACTACTCACAAAATCCAAGCCGAAGACTTTGAGAATTCAAATCTGTGGTTTATACATTTAAAAAAGTGTAATAAATGGAAATATAAAATAATACCAACTCTGTAATAGTGAAATGCCCTTTCCTCATTAGATTGCTGTTTAAGCACCTTTATTTTCACCCATCAGCTGCCAGGAGTGTTTAGGTTTATGTACAAAATAAGCAGTTTGGGACAGAAGATTCATATATAAATTAAAACCATTTATGGCAATACAGTTTCACCCAGCCGCTTTACAAGCTTTATTATCTCTTTCACTTCTGTGGAATTTTTCAGTCGATGATCTCAAATGCACTTGATGGACTGCTTCAAAAAGCAGCTACATATACAGGAATTCAAGGAGTAGACTTCCAAGAGATTAAACAACTTAACACACAGTAAAACTAAGATCAGATTTATATCTTATATAAATACTGTGCAGTTTTATCTTCCATCCCACTGAACGAATGGGACAGATCAGTGTCACATCTGAAGACAAAAAAAAATACTTTTATCCAAGAGGCAACAGAATTTCAGGCCAAATCTAGCAGATAGGAGTTCCCTCAAATTATTTAGTTAAAAACTGTATGTGTCTGAAAAAGGTTTACAATAACAGAGTTTTCAGAATAACTTGCACATTTGCTTAGCTGTTTCGTAGCTATTTTACAGCCTAGAGACACTGAGAGAGGAGGAAAAAAAATAGAAGAAAATTAAAAGAGATGCCATTGTCTCTGCCCACTACGAAAGCTGTGGCTTTGTCATTTATGGAACACTGCAGACACAACTATTACCAGAGCGGAGACTGCTCCAGTACAGCATTAAAGACAAAGTTAAATTATGGCTGGAGAAAGTATCATCACAGGCTAATCTCTTTATATGAAGGCTGATGGATTAATCTCACCTCCTCCTCAAAACCCAAGCGTTCAGATTTTCTAGCAGACTGCTCGTGATTCTCACTCCACTGTTTTCTATTTTTTTCTTTTTAACAAAAGATAGAAAAGGTCATGAAAGCTGATGAAAGGTCCAGCTGTGCAGCATCCTGTGAACATGTACTCAACAAAACCACAAGTCATTAATCACTGTCTCTCTCCACACTACAACAGGAAACCTGTGTCATCTATGCACATAATGAAACTAATAAAGATGTACACTATCTAGGTCACAAATGAGCTTCAGTAACAGTCACTCACTGTGGCACTGCAACTTGCTGCAGTCTGGCTGAAGGGTGGAGACAGATCTGTTTGAGCCAAAAGAGAGAATAGTTAAAAAAACACCCAACAAAGCCCACCCAGCTTTAGTTTTCCTCAGTCACCAAAGTTTACAAATAATTTGATATTGCTACTTTCCAAATGCTACTCACAAACAAATCAACTGTCCAGCTATCAGGATGGGAAGAGTACAAATATGAATGTAATCAGTGACTACTGTTAAAGAAAGACTGGAAGAGAATCAGTTCCCTCAAAATCTTAGTTTCTCTGCTTAAGTAGCTCATTATTATTTTTAAAACATTTTTGTTGATAAAAAGCATCACAACTAGACTAGAATTCCACAACATCAATCTTTGTTTTGATTTCGGTAGTTCTCTAGGAAAGAAAGAATCCCAAATCAAGCTACATGAAGCATTAACAATATTCAGATATTACAATGGAAGCACTTATTTATTACTTCATAGAACAGATTAGTTTTAAAAGTGTATTTACATGTTCTAAGTTATACAAAATACAGTATTCCAATAATCATGTTAATCACCATATTTCAGACAACTTCACATAAAAGTGCGGAGGATGCATCCATCCCTGATCCTGGCCAGTAGCGAGCGGTCACCACATGTGACAGGTGAGAGCTGCTATTGTGCCCCCTCGGGAAAACAAATCCCACCATCCCTTCTCACTGAAACGTAGCTGCAGATCTAGGAAAACATTCAGGCAAGGTACACGAGCAAGGTTTGTTGAGACCCACAGACCAAAATCACATGCCTTAATTTACTAGACGTATGTGAAGTACATTTTTAAGTTTTTACAGATGTTGTACAGCAAAGGGCTTCTGCTCATGCCTTAGTTAGGAAAATGAAGTAACAAGGGTTTTGGCTATATAACAGGCACCCAAATGACACTTAATATCAACAGCCCTATAGCTACAACTGGATAGTGTATTAAGGACACAATTCTGCAGCTGACTGCCTGGGCAGAGCTTCACATTCAAGAACAGGTCCTGTGAAGTCCACATGGTTCTCTACAGATATAGAGCTCTTCCCATGAAGACATGACAGCAGAATTGAGGCCTTAAAAGACTGGGGCCTCAGATAGCCTCATGTCTCATGAGGTCATGTCTCATGTCCTCATGAGACAGCACTGACCAGTTCACGTTAGCAGGTCAAGTCCCAGCGCAACAGCACACTTAGCTGAAGCAACAGCTATTTTTTCATGCCTATCTGCAGTAACTCTCCTCCCTATCTGTATATTCCTTTCACTTCCTTCTGGACTGTGGAAGTAGGACCAAGACAAGGAGATTCCCAAGACCTAAACAAGTACTTATCTTCAGTATGATGCTGAACTGAGGGGATCCAAATTGGCCTAGAATTGTAAACAGTGAGGTGTTAGTTTTAGCAATCTCACTCAGGTCAGACTCTTGCATTACTCTTCTCTTCCTCTTTCATTCTTTGCTCTCCTTGCCAAGTATCTATGTCTATCTATATATGCATCTTCCTCAAAGGATTCCTTTTTCCCTGTAGGTATCTGAACTTGAAGAAGTTTGCGTTCCAAAAGTGACTAATGAGGGATAGCAGACTATCAAATTAATAAATTACATCTGTATGTCAATTTGCATTATCATGAGTTATATCATTGTAATTCTCAATTAGCATTTTGTTAGCATCTTCACAGATATTTAGTTAAGCCTATTCTTTCTACCTTTCTCCCAGTCTTCATTTGTGAGTTTATCTATCTTCACCATGTTACAGTGGCAGATATACAGACCAGAGTAATTATCTGAACATCTAGAAAGCCAGTCAGAGTCTTGTAGTGCTGCAAAGGCAGAATGTTAGCACTAACAAATTATTTTGCTCTTTATGGATTTAGGTGTATGTTGCCAAAAACATGAGATTTATGCATTAAGATAAATTTGTATTTCTCATCTTGTGCTTAGCAGCTTAGCTTAGCAGCTAAAACTAGAAGGGCAAACAAAAGCCTATCTGGATTTTATAAAGGTCTGAAATACTTTCTCTCTCACTAAAAATGAAAGCACCTGATCACAAGAACCAAAGCCCTTTTATGCTCAGGTGGCTTACAATATTGAAGCAGCAACAGTCTCCTCTGTGCAGGTCCATTATTTTTATTATCTACAAAATATTCTTTTTTTCTGCATAAATGGTTTTATTACAGCATTCCCAAAGCTGCTGGCCTTCCACTGCACCTCCCACCTTGAAACTGATTAGGCACAATTAGTAGCAGGCCCGCAGATAATGCTGAAAGTGATTTCTAGTTAGAATACCTTGGGCTTTCAAACAGCACAGTAAGGAAATGGAGAATTGTCAGAGAAGACATAAAATGTTACTGCAAAAAGCCGCTTAGCAAAAAACCAAACAACCCAACCAACACAAATTTATAGTACACTACTATAAACCAAAAAAATAGCAGAATTCAGATTATCTGAATATCAAAACTATCAGGACCAGTTTACCAACACTACACCTGCAATCTGAGATGTATCCACCTGATCCAAACACAAAATGCTTCAGAGTAAAGCAAAGATACCCATGACTCCAGCACTTGCTAAAACTTCACAATAACCACATAAGAGTAAAGACTTTTTTCCTGTGGGAGATAATGACATCTTTGTTACTAGCTTCAGTGGGAGCAGATTTTGGCAACAGGTGAAAGATTAAGCTCCTTGGAATTTTTAGATACAAACCCACTACATGTAGATTAGATCATCATGTATGAAAGCAATACTGTATTAAATATTGCGCATCATTTATTCATAGCTGCTGTCCTCTGTAGAGTAAAACAACATTCACTGTCCACAAATCTCATCCACAGTTTATGTATTTTCAAAGTTAGTACTATGAAATGACCATGTGGTGTCAATCCACTTCCTAATGAAAGTATAGCTCTGTCATAAACTGCTCTCTTTCCTGGCAATCCCTGCAGTGATGCTGAAAGGTGCACATGCCCTTTATTCTCTCCACTTGGAGATGGTCCCTTTGTGGCTGGAATGGGGTAGGTTGGCATCAGGCACACTTATGGCCTCTACAGAGTATGTTCCAAGGCTAGAGAACCTCAAACCCTAACAGTGTCAATTCAGCACCTTTTAATACTCAAATCAAGCTAAAAGACTATTGGTCTTCTTATGATCACTAAGAAAACATACCCAAGTTATCACTTACAGATAGGATTGTCATCCTAGTCAAAGAACCAAAATGATATAGTGAATCATTCCGAGAGGAGCAGAGAGCTCTGGAGCAATAAACTTAACTTCCTGAGACTGCAAAAACTGAGAAAAGAATTCAGCATTGCACAGTATTTTTTGTCTGGCAACATCTGCACTCCTTTAAATAGTTACTACCTTCCCATCTATCTTTGAATATACTGCTTCTTAATAACAACAACTTCTTCAGCTACAAAAGTTGAGCTGCACTCACCCTAAAGTGCGATTTTCCAGTTTTGCAACCCGTAGACACATGAATCACAGATTGTGCAAATCTGCATTGTCCTACAGGGAAGCACAAATGTTCGCTAACAGTCTTCTCTGAAAGAAAGCTCTAATGAACATTCACTGTTAATTTCCATTGCGTAAGCTTCTAAGATAACAGAAACAAAACAATACAATTGCACATGCTAATCTCACTGATTGAATATTTTGCTGTCAAAATGTCCTGACATACTGCAAAACCAAACCCTGTACACAATATGTAAGTATTTAAAAGATATTCCTAAGCACAGTAGGATTCAAATGAAGCAACTCCTTACCCAGTTATTTAGCTTTTGGCTTTGTGATCTAAACAGGAAGCATGACATTTAAGAACAGCCAGTGCTAACTAAAATTTTAGAAATTATAAATTTAAAAAGTTGCTACATTTACATGCTGTCATGGTTGTTTGTTTTGTTGCTGGTTTGGGCCTTTATCACTAAAATAAAGCAAAAACCGGTACATACCGGAAATATCCAAATCAGCAATACTCAATACAGGTAGAGATATATGCTGCCATTTCAGCAGCATGGAACTAAGATATTAATCTATTTGATAAAAATATCCCATGATTATCTCAGAGTTTATAATCCCAAATTATAATTATACACTCATAGGTATATTTTGGTAACCAGGAAAAAGTTAAAAACACTTTCTTGACTTCAGTACATCATCCATTAAAAATGATAGGTCAAAAACTACATTTAATATATAAGCTCTGTACAAAGGTTATGCTGTCAAACACTAGTTATGAATCCTGGCTTTTGAATGTATTTTGGTTTTTTTATTAAGCTTACAATATTAGCCATTGCGTCTCACATTTTTCTTTTTTGCATTTCTGCTCTGAAATTAGGGGTGGAATCTCTTGGGTAAACACAAAGTCAAAATAATTGTTCAATATGATAGCAATGAGCTATGCTGGTAACTAGTCATGCCTCATAATTTTGGCACTTGTGCTTCAGAAAGCTTTCAAGATTATTTTTCTTGAGGTGTATGCTATTCATCAATCTCCAGGCATGAACACACTCCTGTCTTACAAGCTCCATTTTGGCTACAAGCATGGCCCTGTACTCCTTTCCTAGCAAGTAAGTACTCTTGTTCTTCCCACATAGATTTAGCTCTAAACCTCCCTTAATATAAGAGCAGATTCCTGTTACACTGATGAAATTCTTACAACGGAACTTCCACCTACTTCCTCTATCTTCTAAACACAATAAACATCTCCACAATCCGTCCAAGCTTTTATCTACCCTCCCACACCGGCACAAGGGTCCTTACACTGAAGCTGCCCATGGTAACTGTGGGATATCATTGGCTGTTTTTCACCTTCAGCACCGCAGCTGTCCTGCACTCAAGAGACAGAAAATGGTAATATGGCAACTAAGAGCCATTGCTTTCTTGGAGCTAATACTCATTTGGTAGTTTCAGACAGCCAAAAGATTTGGAGATCAGCAGCTCAGAATAGCACCTTTCCCATGATTGCTAAGTCATTAGCAGAAGAATAGATCCTGTTTCAGCAAGATACCATAAAAGAAAGTGAGGCTCATAAACGAAATAAAGGAAAAGGCAGGTTACAGCAGTGTAGCTGTGGAGCAGGAAAGCAACCGACTTCGTTTACTATTACATGGGTCATTTGATAGAGGTTTATTACTCTCTGTATGGCATACTGTGGTGCTCTCTGGGTTATTTCAGAACATCTGCTGTAATCTTCTGCACTGAAGTCTCACACATTATAGGCCGCTGTCTTCCTGGTGTCTTTAGTTCTGCACTCACAGTACTCCACAATACGCTACACTGCACCAGAAGTGAGCTGCAGTATTAAATAAAATTCATTATACTGCAGGGAAAAGAGTCTTAAAATATAGCAGTTCTTTATATATACAGACACTTTCATTTAAAACTCCCTCTCTTCTTCCACTCGAGTGCCAAAACGAAGAGTCACTATTCACCACACAGGCTGTCAACAGACTTTGAGACATGAACTTTGAGTGTCTTGACAAAACCCCAGTAGGTAAGCTTATTGTAGTTCATAGTTACAGTGAGAAAGACAGATAAGAAAGCCATATACAGAATTAAGGAGACTTTGCACTTTTCATCATGCCCAGCCCTGGGTAGTCAGATGGGGTACTTGCAGGCAAGGAGGCAGGCAGGGTCATCATCAGTTGTTTGTGTTGGGACACCTCATAGATTTCACTGCTCACTCTGAAGACTGGCGATTCATGTGTGCTTTTTAGTTTCTTTGTTTTTAAAAGTCTTTAAAGTTGCATCACTCGGAATCAGATAAGTCACTTTAAACAAAGCAAAGTGTTAAGTGTGACAATTTATTTATAACATACTTCCCACCATCACCACCACAAACCACCCTGTGAAAGAAAAAACCCCTGCTGAAAGGGTGACAATTTTTAGTACGTTTGAAAGAAATTAGACCAACACCACATCAAGAGCCACTCTAGTCAAATTAAGAGCATAACAGAGGGGGGAGGTATAGTTCAAAGCATACATTAAGTACTGTGGATTAGCCTGCTTCTCCACTTCCTTAAGAAATCAACACAAAATTGCTCTAAACTCATGATTTCCACATTATGTTTAAAATACAAGCTAGTCTTTAGCATAGAAAATAAACCTCAATGCTTTTAAAATATACTTTCAGATTTCAGTAAAGGAACTGCAACTACCCTCAACATCATCATCTCACATTTACTCCTTAATATAAATATTATCCCAGGAAGTATAGCCTAAGAGTTCTGACACAGCCACTATCTTAACACAGCTTCTCTTGTTAAGAGGACTTCTAGACATATACTTCTGGTAAAGCTTCTAGTTCTTGCAGTTGTAGGTCGTGCAGAAGGTCTCAACATCACACACAGCATATTTTTTCTTTTAACACCATATATTGATGAAGCAGTGCTTGGTGCTGAGAATGGATTACTTCCAAGAGGGCAAGTCTTGTGTGCTAATTTTCTGTCAGGAAACATGCTGGAGATAGAACCAGCAAGTACGGAGAGACCAGATATACTGCTGCACAGGAGACAGTGAAGTAAACTGTTTGTGTTTATAGTGGGTGTAGCTTATCCCATAGTGTGTTCATGAGACCAAGGACCAAAACTCTTTCTCAATCTCTTGCACAACAGGTAAGGTGCAGTAAAATAGCAGTGGCTTGTTTACTTGTTTTAAAAAGCCCCTTCTTTCAAAGCTTAAGGTGCTGGCCATTTTTTAACAGCTGGGACTCAAGGTTCAGCCTGATGAGCCAGACCTCTTTTTTTAAATCTCCCTTACTTCTCAGTTAAGTGCAACATGCTGCTTTATCAGCAGTTCAAGAGGGAAGACCCTCTAAGGAAAAAAAGGAGTGGTGGTAGAAATACAATCTAGAACCCACATCAAATGATTTTGTCCACATATGTAAAGCGAGTGATTCACTACTGTTCTCTCTCCTTGCTTTCTGCAAGTGATCCAGGATTAGAACCTATCAAGAGATTTAGACAGTATTGTAATAAAAACTGCACTGACTCCACTCTGCATAACATTAATAGATGAACCTCGCAATACTTCTGTTTTTACAAGAGATTTAATATTTTCCTGTCTTCCTGTCCCTAAAGGTTCCCCTATTCCTCTTCAACAGGAACAGAGTTCTATACAACAGATACTTTCTAGTGCCTCTGAATGGGAGAGGAAACAATTTCATGATGCTGCCCAGCAACATCTACTTATATCCTAAAATTATGTTTTACACTTTTACTGGGAGGTGGAATGGAGAGGAGAAAAGAGCAAGAGTTTGAAAATTAAATTAAAAAAAAATAGAGAGAGAGAGAGAGAAGAGTCTCCTAGGCTCTTTCTCCACTTAAAAATTAAGGTTAGAACAGATAGCAAAAGCTCTGTCCAATCTGGAGGGATCCACATTTATTCCTCCAGACAGGTGAATCTGTTCAATTGTATGAAATCAGAAAATGTTTTATCGGTGTTGAAAACAGGGTTGTAAATATGGACACTAAGATTTTGGACAACAGATTTATCAGGAAAGGGCCTGGAACGAGTTGTGCCAACAGTAACAGGGTTTGTCTGTGTTTTGTTGGTTTTTTTCTAGTGTAGATGCAAAATGGCAAAGCCTCCATAAACTTTATTTCTGGGAGTCTCTACAGAAGGCAGAGAAGTCTAAGAGGCTAAAACAAAGTGCCCTAACAAGGAAAAGGGTGTGCTTACAAGGGTCCGTATCTGGTCTCGTATTTAGAAACAATGTTCTTGCATCGTCCCACTTCCTTGCGCAGCTCTGCCACCTCCGTCCTCAGGGCTGTATTTTCTTTCTCAAGAAAGGCCGCCCGAATTGTGATCTGATTCTCCTTTAGTCGCCGAGCATCACGGGAACGCTTTGCTGCCACATTGTTCTTCTTTCGCCTTGTCCAGTATTTTTCATCCTGTAGTAAAAAAAAGATGCCAAACTGACAACTGTTTCGGAGACACCTCTTTATTGTACAATGATATTCACAGTGACTGCTACATTGAGGAATCTCCTCCATAGGTCTGCAGGGCTCTGACATCAAAATAGAGACCATGCAGTACTATAAGATTCATCTTTACACAAGTCTTCTTTTAGGATAAACCAAGTGCATTGCTAGAACTAAGGAGATTTAGAGACTTGGGTATTAAGAAACTGTCCAACTGAAATGCTTCCTTTACTTAGTTTTCAATTAGGAGTGAACTTTTACATAAAACCACCTGTTCTGTTGTCTGGGTTGCTTAAATCCACATTGGACACAATACTGGGCAAATATAGACAACGGCCTTCAAAAGTGCAGGTGATGAGGATTTGACTTGATAGTTCTTCTAATTTCTGTATATAGCATGATCAGTTGCTCCTTGCCAGTAATTAGCTCATGATACCAAAACCTGCAAAACAGCAAGCACAGCAGCTGGCTTGCCAATTCTATTCTTGGCAGTGCTTCTGCCCAATCATGTAGGTAAACTGCATTAGCTCTGTATGTCAAAGTGTTTGAACAAAGAGTCAGAAACTCTTATCAAGGCCTAGAAGAGTTTGCAGCAATAAATCTGTTACCTTTTGCTCATCTGGGACAAAAACCTTCTTGGCTTTTTTAATCATAGGTTGTGGTTTCAGGTCCTCTTCAGTAAACTTGTGTTTGCGAGGATTGAAGAGCTCGCCACCAGGCACACTGGACAGCACTAAATCAGCAGGGTCGGGGTTAAAATTCACCTCAACTTCTACGCAGTCAGGATCAATGGGACTGGGTGTATTTCTCTCATTTTGTGGTGGGGACTCTGGCAACAACAGGAGAAATTACAATATATTCAGCAGGATGAAGAGACTCAAGAGAGAAGCCAACTTTACTGTCCTGTTGTGAGAAATACTCAATAGCAATAGCTGGTGCTTCCCTGAGGTGTGGTGGGTGCTGTACAGCTGCTGGTACAGAGAAAGAGTTCACAGTCCAGTCTGTAATATAACTCTAGGAACGTATGCCAGACTAACAGACATGAGTAGACAGATGCAGGACAGGAGTTAACAGATCCTTGGCAAAAGTTACATGCTTTGCACACATAAAAAACATCTTCAACAGCAGTAAGAAGGGATAAACTTATATCAGCCTGAGTTTTGTATTATACAAATCCTTACAGAAATAAGCCTGCCCAAAGACCCCAGTCCCTAGGACCTTCAAAGGTCAGACAAGTAGACTTCCAAACAACAGACTAAATAAAGGAGCATTTGTTACAAATGCAACTGTATTCTTCTTATTTGCCACATCGAAACAAATGCCCCAACAGAATGTCTGACATCGGAAGTGTTCATATGAATTTTATCATATTAATCTATTGTTTACAAAACTTCATATACGTGAGTTGCAAAACTGCATGCCACTGCAATGTGCAGTAGTGATCAATAAGTTTTGCATATACCTCCTCGAAAAAAGCTACACCCTATGAGTTTCATGTTATCTTTCCCACAGATTCACAAAAGAGATCCAGAGCAAAATGCTTTCTGTAAAGCTTGCTCATAAAATAGTACGGTGATGGCTATCATGTTTAAACTCGAAATCTAGGGCAAACTGAACAGCTGAATTCTTTAATAGAGAAGATCTCCATACTACAAATGAAGTTTCCTAGTACCATTTAAGCAGAGTTTTGTTTTTTTGTTACTCCACTCCCACTTCAAAGCGCCACAGAACATCAAACTGCATCATTAAAACACCTTTTCCTAGTGTCTGTTTTCACATTTCCCAGGCTACCACAAAAAAGACTGCTTCATTGTTTTTCTATTTAACACTGTTATTTGAGGTACTTTAAGTTCACATAAGTTCACCCAAGCAGACCAAGGTAGTAAAAATGACTTGTGACAAGCTATCAAATCTGTTGTAAAATAACCTGAGACAGTATTTTCTCAACATGTCCAGCTTCTCACTACATTAGCAATAGCAAGAAAGCAAATACTTTATGTTCATGTTTCAGCTCTTATAATTTCAAAATCAAAACAGACTGTACACTGATAGACAGACTACACATTGATAGACACTCATTCTTCACAGGATGGGAAGAGCGGAAGGAGAGGCAGCATCTACATGAATTGATACATGAACTAAGGCTCTACATCGAGCATGTTTGTATCATTTAATCTGCCACAGCAAACACTGACAGTTTAGCATGTCTCCTCTTTGATCTAAAGAGGCACCTCTTAATATGAGAACAACAGAAGTCCCTCAGAGACCCATATTATTCCATCTACCTGTGCTGGAGGCTGCTTCAGATTGCTGGTAAACTGCAGTGGAAGAGGATGATGCAGGAGAACCAGTGGAAGCACCGGCAGATTCCTTCCCTTCCAGCTCAGCCACAGGCAAGAGTGGATTCTGGTTCAAATCCAGGTGAGTAGGGCTGGAAGGAATTCCATTCTCCAGCAGGAACTCATCCAGATCCATGTACTCCAGGTGGAAAGACTCGCCATCATAAGGAATAGTTTTGTCCCAAATGGGTGGCATGAGGGAAGCCGAGACTGCCATAGTGCTGGCAGCTGCTGCCTCATCTTCTTCAAGCTTTATTTTCTCCTTCTCTTTATCTGAAAGATACAAGTAGGTCACTGTACAAGCCGAAACACAGGAGAGACTCAAGGTTTAAGAGTCAAAAAAATCCCCACGAAAGGAAATTCAGTAAGCTCATGGTTCTGCCTCATGAGATGATCTGGAAAACCAGATGTTGAAAAGCAACATTTACGTATGAAACAGTCTAGCCCCCTGTGATGGCTAGACCACAGACAGCTGAGCAGTCTTGCAGACCAGCATCTTTGCTGTGATAACTTACCGAAGTGTGAGGAAGTGCTGCATGGGGCTTATTAACCAGTCACTGCAGAACAGCCTGGTTTTCATATATCCATCTCAGAAAAAAACCAAAAGTGACTGTCCCTAAGCAGGGTTACGTGGGAAACCATTAAGAAAATTCTGAGGAAGCGGAATAGCTTATTCTATGCACAAAGAAGGAATGTGCAGAACAACAATTAAAATACCAACGGGAGAGGAATATGGGTTTTCAGATTATGTCTGAAAATCAGTCAAAAGGTCCATAGGACACCAGAGACCTGGATGCCTGTTGTTCAGCATTTTAGAAGCACTTCTCTCTGAAATGACTCAGCATGTCCACAGAAAGCAATAGCTCCAAATGCTGCTCACTATAGATAGCTCAGAGTATCTACATACAATTTTCACTCTTTGGGGAGATGTCTAATAAGGCACACTCCCACATCCCACCCCCAAGTCACAAGAGACTGATGAATTTTTCTCCATTTACTGTGCTACAGTGCACATATTACAGAAAAATGGCTGTTTCTATGTTCCCCATAGCTACTGAATCTTAACAATTGTCTGGGACAGAATCCAAGCAGAAAACTCATGTTATGGAATAATTACATAATTTAAGAGATAAAAATAAGCTGGCAGAAAAAAAAATTAAATCCAAGTCATTTTCCTGATCCAGTTCTCCATGCAGCCATGCAGTTCTATCAGCAGTGAAGGAGGCATTCCAGAAGCAGTGCTAGTACTGCCAGCATTGAGCCAGCACTGCTGTCAAAAGGAAGGCATGGTCACCAGTTGTACCCTAATCACCTGGAAACTGAGCATTACCACGGACGCCAACAAATACTCAGTTCAATAGAACAGAGACTCCAAGGACATACATTGGGCCAGTTTGGAGCTCCAGTATTAACAGAGATCAGCCGAATCAAATGCACTAATTTTGGCATTAGGGTTTTCTAGACTGGCTACAATATGCTAAAGGAGCATTTTTCTTTATTGGGGGTGGAAGTGGGGGTGAAACTCGGCTCTAAATCAGAAAAGCCTTTTTATATAAAACCTATTGATAGAAGTGGCATTCCTTCCGCTGTTGCCTTAGCTGGTGTGGAACTGAGACTGAAAGAGCTTTTTATGGCTTAGAGAACAGTGCTGCCACACAAAGTAAATTATCTACCGTATTCTGAATATTTTATACAAAAGAAGTTACTGATTTTAAACCAAGCAGCTGAGAAACTATTCACCAGCCACTTGCTTGGGACCAAGAGCAAGTACCTAAAGGACACATTAAATTCAGACCAGTGGCTCCTGGACCTAAGCTTTGGTAACATCACCTTGCAGCTTTTGGTCTTCTCCTTGCCACTTCACACTGCTGCCTCTGAACTGCCACCCAGCTCCTATTCCTGCTATAAACTCCTTTTTGCAGGGAGTTTTGCAACTTTCCTACCTTTTGCCTAGGCAAAGCAAACAGGTAGGTTAACAGTAATTATGCAAATAATGAGAATGTTTCTAAACAGTTCCTACTTGAACCCAGTAAAGAAACAGCATCTACTCTACATATAAGGAGAATTTCCCTTACTACTGGAGCACATCCTGCCAAATTGGAACCAACATTTCACCTGTGAATAGAGATTGTGTATTCCCCAACATTCCCAGCACAACCAAATTCAGATTTGCACTGGATGTTGTGGATGATAGTACCAAAACAAATTCAAGCAACAATAATGAATTCTTTGTAAATAACTATTTTTAATTAACATGATAAAAAACTTGTGAAATGTCAAGTCCAAATGTCAACTAAAAAAAATAAAAGTTCTTTACTCTTGAAAATAACAGTAGCCCATTATATATTATGTTAGTTTTAATACGAACCAGCAGTACTTTTGTTTTGCAACAAGAGAGGAGGGTAAAAAAACCATTAAGTGATTGTTAGACTGAATATAAAGCTTAAAAATATTTTTCAGAAGGAAGATGCTAAAAAGACTACACTGCTGGAATATGTGGCTCTTCTCAGATTTTTTTAATGCCTTTTGGATATGCATGATCATCCTGCTGTCCTGCAGTAACCTGGAAAAACTGTGGTTCCTCCAATTTCCTCTTGTGACTGCCCCTGGCTCACACCAGATTAGATCCTTCCTCCATGTGAGAAAAGCATCCAAAATTTTTTGTCCTTTTGCTACAAGTTGACAACTTAGCAAGGCCCCCAGCGCTGTCTTTGTTTAGTTATGCTGTCTCTCTCTCCTCCCTCACTTCTAACAGTATCTGAAACAAAATAGCAGAAGTTAACACACATTTTGGGAACCCATCTATTTCAAATGTGATAGATAACGTGGTAAAACCTACGTATGATCATTACTGCATTGATGTTTTCCCACAGGCTTTCTTTCAATTCATTTAATCTTCATTTCTGCCACACAAAATCCTGCTTGGGTGCACAATATCTAATGAACACTAATTAACTTCTTGCATCTTGAGGCGGAAGTTTCTGCCTACCTCAGCACAGGGACCTGAGAGATTAATTCTCTTAAGATATTTATAGTGTAAACAGGTATTACCTGACAGTAGAGCTGCAGTATCCTAAGAGGCTCCATTTGCAGCAATTCAAGGTCACCCTGATAAATCTGGACTGTACTTCTGCAGATGATGGCTCATGTCCGATTTAGCCCCCTCATTCTGCTACCGTGACCTATTAACTGGGCTGTACATCTGCTGTTAACAGTGAGGACACCAATTTATGCTCAGTGACTTAAGTGAACCATTCCAGTTACTGAACTATTGGAAATACGGCTGTTTTAACCAAAAGCAGCAGCCTGAAAAGAGCTTTATTTCCTGTCCTGTTTCTTCCTCAAAATCAACCAAACCAAAAACCAACCAAAAGATTTTGGCCACCATGCTGTCAAGAGCTATCCCAGCCACAAACAGAAAAAAATACTTATTTGACAAACTTCCTCTTGTTCACCAACAAAAAAACCCATCAAATTATACTGAAACCACTATGTCTATATATATATAGGCTGATTGCTCCATAAATCTTTAGTCCCACTTATGAGGATGGAACAAGGCAGGTTGTAGGGTTCTGTATCCCTAATGCCCATTACTGTGATGTTTGCTGAGGCATTCCTCCTGCCACAGCAGCATGCAACTGGTGATTAAGGCATCCTTTGGAGAGTATGCAGCAGCTCTGTTACTAATGGAAGAGACCTACACTCCTGCTCCAGAATATTAAGTGCCTTCCCTAACCCACAGGACTTTTCCTTTTTATAAAAATATCATTATTTTAATTTATTTAATCCTTACAACATACACAACAACAACTCCCAGCAAGGCTGGTGAGCTTACCTGGTACATGGCACAGCGTTCTAGGGGATGGCATTCTGCTGGAACTGCCTCACCTCCCTCCTCTGTTGCTCAGGAGGATTAGAAAGATGCTTGCTTTGACTGGGTAGTCAAATTACCCACAGTGGTTGGAAAAGCCACAGGTAGCTTGCAGAGACTATAAATGGACAGACACTGCAGCTAACTGATATAATTTCTTAAAGAATAAGACAGAAAATTGTGTTTTTGTCAATAGGCATTCCAGACAAAAGTGCAGGGTCTTTTCTAAGAAAGTTTGCTGAACCTGTACCACTGGATTAAGTGAATGAGTAATTTTTTAACATTTTGAGTGTATCACTGTTAAAAGAAGAGAAAATAATCAAGGATCATCTGAAGACAGTTGAGTCACAAGTCTACTGACAAGCCTTTTGTAATTTGGAAGTACCTGCTGAAAATGAAGGCATTCTTTCTGTTGTCTTGAATAGGCAAACAAGAAAAGTATCAGAGACCAAAATAAACAGAAAGCAACAAGTTCCACAAAGTGTGAAGTGAAACAGAACAATGTGAACTAAGGAAATCTATGGAGAAATGTTAAGAACAAGAACAACTTGAACTTTATCACACCATGAATGGAGAGGGATAATCAAGATGAAATGGACTCACTAGCAAGCTTTAGAGGCTCCAGCCGAACACCTTAATGAGCTGGAATGGGGTCATCTAGTAATCAATCTAGTATCAATGTTCCTAATTTTAGAAAAATGCACTACCTCACAATCGTATTAATTTCAGAATTTTACATCTCCATAGGCCACATCACATGATTCTGAACACAAAAATCACCCCCAAGACAGTCACTAAATCCTTATCAGCATGATACACATGAACCGAAATTGCTCCTGCTGGCACTAATGTCTTTAAAAAGGACTGGGTGCAGAAATATCTTAAGAAATCCCATGATTTTGTAGATTCAAGATTCTGTGTGCTGCAGCATCCTGCACCATAGCAACATAACTAAAACCTTTATCAGAAGCTGACTTTATTTTATTTTTAGCAGAAAGGAAAAAAATATAGTCTCCAGAATCACAAAATGGATTTATAAGGTATTGTGCAATATTAGACATGCAAGGTAGGTAGGAACCTCACTGCCAACAATCTTGCGAACCTTGCTTATGCTGTGGTTTACCCTCGATGTTGTCCACTGTTCCAAAAAAATATTTTTAATCTCAAAATTAGTAAGTGTAAGGACTTCTTTTATTATACACCAGTACACTGGGCATTATAACAGTGCAGATAATCCTGAGCTTTCCTCGAAATGAAACAGATACTCAGAAAGGCAAAAATACTGCCAGATGAGCAGGAAAAAAAAACAAGAAAAAAAAAGAAGTGTGCCATCAGCACCGAAGACTATAAGCACTAGCAGTGTTATTTACACAGCTGCTGTCCGCATCACCAGTGGCAGAAA